GTACATTGAATTCTTCACTGCATTTTCCTCCTCTTCTCTTCTTTTTGTATACTCTTTCCCTATTGACTCCATCCCACCCTTTTTTGTTTATTTTTGTTTTATAATTAATGTGGTAGCCTCTGCAAGCTTGTGGTCTGATATTTTTTGTGTGTGATAGTTGCTGCTGCTGTCAGGCAATTATTCATAAAAACCAATCTTCATAGCTTTGCTTACTTATTTTTTTAAGGTTTACACAGAAAACTCTGTCTTGATTCTGATAACTTTTATAATTTTCTTCCCTTTTTAACGTTTGTTTTGTTTTTAAGACAGTGTCTTATTTGTGTTGCCCAAACTGACCTTACAGTCTCCTGGATAAGCTGGGACTACAGAATCATACTAACATGCCCACATTTCTTTCATGGTACTTTTATTTATCTCTAACTACTGTCTAAGACTGTATTTGCTTTGAGCTCAGTTACACCAGCGGGTTATGTTGAATTTATAGACATCTAAAAATCACCTATGTACCTATAATCCTAGCTAGGATTGAGGTTTGAGCCAGATTAGGCAGGAAAGTTGGTGAGACTTACATCCAGTTAACTATCAAAGAGCAGAAGTAGAGCTGTGGCTCAAAGTGGTAGAGCTCTAGCCTTGAGCAAAAGAGTTCAAGCCCCACGACCAAGAAAAAAAATGTACCAAAAATTTAAGTGGAAGCCAGGCACTGATGGCTCACACCTGTAATTCTAGCTACTCTGGAGACTGAGAGTGAGGATCATGATTCAAAGCCAGCCTGGGCAGTTCATGAGACTCTTATTTCCAATTAACCATCAGAAAACCAGAAGTGGTACTGTGGCTCAAAGTGGTAGAGTGCTAACCTTGAGCAAAGAATCTTAGGGATGGGGCTGGGAAGGTGGCTCAGTGGTAGAGCGCTTGCCTTGCATTCCTGAGGTCCTGGGTTCAATTCCTCAGCACCACATAAGCATAAAGAAAAAAGCCGAAGTAGTGCTGTGGCTCAAGCGGTAGAGTGCTAGCCTTGAGCTGAAGAGCTGAGGGACAGAGCCCAGGTCCAGAGTTCAGGCCCCACGACCGGACCCCCCAAAAAAAATAAAATCTTAGGGACAGCGCCTAGGCCCAGGAGGGTCATGGTAGTTCTTGGCATAACACTTAGTCTAGGCTAATAAATTTATGATAATTGCTTTATGATATTTTAATTTAAATATATTAAGTAAATCATATACATAAAAATTAAACTAGTCTTTTATTTTTTTATTGTGAAAATACTGTACAGAGAGGTTACAATTACATGGGCAAGATAATGAGTACATTTCTTATGAAGCATTGTAGCCTCCTCCTTTGTTTCCCCTTCCCATCCCTCCCCAGCCTCCCCCCGCCCCCCCCACCCAATCCTCCCCTCCCCCCCCCCCCCACCAAAGTTGTAAAGTTCCTTTTCGACATAACGACTTGTACATCTCATTGTTGCAATGGGTCCACCTGTATCCCTATTTAATCGATTTGTTTTTCCCCTTCCCCTCCACAAATTATACCGACATCAAATACAGTGAAAGCAGGGTTATACTGTGGGGGAGGGACATACAAAGCAACAAAGAAATCATCTTATAAATGTGTTAGAAACAATCGCATGAAAGAAAAAATACATTTGAATACATAGCTTATGGTTCATTTCCCTAACATCACCTTATCTGACCTTTTCTGCTTGACTCATACATATACTAGATATTGCAAATAAGGGAAACCGTGGTACCTATGTTTCTTTGGGCCTGGCTTACTTAATATAATTTTTTCCAAGTCTTTCCATTTCCTAACAAATGGGGCAATGTCATTCTTTCTAATGGAGGCATAGAATTCCATTTAAACTAGTCTTTTAAATTATTCTTATTTTACAAAATTCACCATTATTTAGGTAAATAGTTCTTTCTGTGTATGGTTTGATTTATAATATAATGATTCAAAAACTTTATTGAGTAGACTGTCAGGATAAGGAACACATGCCTTTATTGAATATGTTCCATAACTTATCTTGTTAACATAAAATCATTATATTTGATTCAAGACGTGGACTCGAACTCAGTAACTTAAGCTTTTGCTCATTGGCTACTAATGAACAAAATGCTCATTCTACCAACTGATCCATGCCTCCAACCCCAAAATAAATTTCTGATTGGGCAGGACCATTTCTTGCTTGTCAGAATATAGAAAGGGGGACTGCTGCTCTCCCATCATCCCATGCCTCTTGCTCTTAGTGGCACAAGGTTAAAAACTTAAAATAACAGCCTTTGGAATAGGTTTGTCAAGATCTGTTGTCTGCAGTGGGCTTGCATATGGTGTAAGAGTGGCTGGAGTTCTTTTTAAAATGCTGCATGTAACGACACCAGTGGCTCATGCTTGTAATCCTAACTACTTGAGGCTGAGATCTGAGGATCACAATTTGAAGCCATCCCAAGCAGGAAAGCCCATGAGACTCTTATCTCCAATTAGCTACCCCCAAAAAGCCAGAAGTGGAGCCATGTCTCAAGTGGTAGAACACTAGCCTTGAGCACAAAATCTCAAGAGACAGTGCCCAGGCCCTGAGTTTAAACCCTAGTACTGGCAGCGGGGAGGGGGGGGGGGGGTGGCGGCGGGGGAAGCTACATGTTAAAGTTTCTAGAATATAGGTCTTAACATTTGTTCCCTATCACCATAACAGATCTGCTTTCTCCTTTAGCTGTCATTTTCCAGTCTTTTTTTTTTTGGCACGTCCTGGGACTTGAAATCTGGGTCTGGGCACTGACCCTGAGTTCCTTTTCCTCAAAGTTAGTACTCTACCACTTGAGCGAGAGTGCCACTTCTAGCTTTTTCTGTGATTAATTGGAGATAAGAGTCTCATGGACTTTCCTGCCCAGAATGACTTCAAACCATGATCCTCAGATCTCAGTCTCCTGAGTAGCTAAGATTACAGGCGTGAGCCACTGGCACCCAGCATTTTCCAATCTTTTAATAGTGGAACATTTCTCTTAGACAAAAAATTGTACAGACGCTAAAGTACCTTTATATATGCAGATCAGTAGTCACATGATAAATTTTTGAACAGTTCAGCTTAGTAGCTGAGATAATGCTTTAATCAAACTGTTCCAGAAGTCTAAAAGGAGCACAGGGAAATTCACGTTGCAAAATTGAATTGCTGGGGCTGGGAAGGTGGCTCAGTGGTAGAGCCTTGCCTTGCATGCATGAGGCCCGGGGTTCGATTGTTCAGCACCACATAAGCAAAAAGAAAAAAAGCCGGAAGTGGCGCTGTGGCTCAAGTGGTAGAGTGCTAGCCTTGAGCTGAAGAGCTGAGGGACAGTGCCCAGGCCCAGAGTTCAGGCCCCAAGACCGGATCCCCCCACCTCCCACCCCCAAAAATTGAATTGCCAACAACTGCTAAAAACTGATCTAATTTCTTAATTTTATTATTTAAAATTTAGGAAAGTACATGAAGTAAATCCTCATGAGTGTAAATCTGTTTGATGGAAAATGTAACACTGAAATGCTTAAAGTATCATTTAAAAAAATCTTAGCTATTATAGCTTTTTTAAAATTAAGGGCATGTACTACTACACACTACACAGTATACCTAGCCCAAAATAACTCTTGCTACTTTAATTTTAACAAAATAATGGGTTTCATTATGACATCTTTATATGTTCCCAGTACCTTCTTTTGTGCCTAGGTGCTGTCTTTGAGCTTTGCTCAAGGCTAGCCATAGCTCCACCTCTGGCTTTTTGTGGTTAATTGGAGATCAGAGTCTCATAGAGTTTCCTACTTAGGCTGGCTTTGAACCACAATCTTCAGATTTCAGCCTCCTGAGTAGCTAGGATTACAATCATGAGCCACTGGCACCTAGAACCTCTATGTTTTTTAATGGTTTGTTTTCTTGTTTGTTTTCTCTTTCCCTTATTAGCACAAATAATAGTATGCAAGTATTCTTTTACAACATTTCAAACATATGGTTATCAGCATACCTAAGTGAAATTGTGTATGTTTAAAAATATTCTTCTTAAAATTTTGTATGTAGCCATGCACTGGTGGCTCATACCTGTAATCCTAGCTTCTCAGGAGGCTGAGATCTGAGAGTGGTGGTTTGAGACCAGCCTGGGCATAAAAGTCCATGAGATTCTTATCTCTAGTTAATGAGCAAAAAAGCTGGAAGTGGTGGTGTGGCCCAAATGTTTGGACACTAGTCTTAAGTGAATAAGCTAAAGGAATAGTGCCAGGCAGGCCCTGAGTTCAAGCCCCAGTAACAGCATGCATGGGCACACACACACACACACAGTTTGTATGTAATCAAGTTTATATATATTTTTTATGAAGACTTTCAAAGCAGTACAATGAAAACTAACATATACCTAAATCTGTGTGAAAATGATCAGATTTTTGCTATGTAATCTAGGCTAAAGTAAGATAATCCTCTTGTGTCTATCTGAATGCTGGGGTTATAGATATATGCTACTGTGTACAGCTTTTAAAGGCATTTCTTTACCTATTTTCCAAATTTGGTTCTTTTAGTTCTAAGATACACTGTGAGGTGATACCGAGCTGGTCTTGGTGGTTTTCATTTATTTTTGTAACAATTGACTTACTTAATTCTCATTTGTTTATTGTGTAAAATTCGAACCCTGGAACTGACAGGCTGGGTCTGGGAACTGTCTCGGTGCTCATTGCATCCCTACAACTAAGCTGATGGTGTCTGAAGATTCCTCAGCCTAGTTTAGCCTAAGGAATGTTAATGCATTGCAATTAAGCTTCAATTTACTTAGCCTTTTTCAGAACAGCTGTGCTATTGGCATAATTGTTACAATGTACATACACAGTTTGGAATAGTAAAATTCATTTTGGGATATAATGCCCTTTTAGGCTCTACTGTCATCCTTGCTGAGCTTTAAAGCGGCTTAATTCAAAAAGAGTTTGCTGTTTATCTAGGTGAATTTAGATAGTATGAAGTATGATGATCCTTTGATAGATGGCTTTTTATTTTTCTGTTTTAGAATCACAAGAAGCTGAGGAACAGCTGGTAGCAGAAGTGATTGAAAAATGTTCATCTGAAACTTGTTCTAAACCTCCGGAAAATGAGGTACCACAGCTGGCCACTGATACTCATCCAGTCCAGGATGGCAAAGAAGAACCTGAACACGATACTAGCAAAATCTCAGTAGTGAGGCCATATTCGATAGGAACCAAGAATTCCAAAGATATCCCAGCATCTCTTGGAACAAAAGCAGCCTATGGCTGTGTAACTGAAGTCTCAGGGGAGGTTTTGCCTTCCATCCCACCAGAAGTCATCCAAGACAAGGCAATGACAGAAGGCAACATGGGGGTTACACTTGAAGCTTCTACAGAAATGGATCTAAAGGTCAGCAGCTCCTGTCTAGAGCCTGTAACCAGTAGAAGCAAACTAAGAAAGCCTAAGCCTGTCTCCCTGCGGAAGAAAGCAACTGGAGGAGAGTTTTCAGAAACAGAAACTTCCAGGGAAGGCATACCTATTCCCAAGTCATCCTCCCAGTTCCAATCAGATGAATCTGATGAGAACACACCTGTGCTGGGTGGTACCAAGAACCAGAAATCTCCTCCTGACTGGAAAGAAGCTTCTGGCACTCTGAGTAGTGACACCAATGACTCAGGAGTTGACCTGCAGGAAGAGTCAAAGAGTTCACCTCTCAAACTCCAGTTTGATTTCATAGAAGTAGAAAATGGAGAGGCCAGGAAAGCCCTTCCAAAGAAACCTGGCAAGAAACCAGGAAACAAACTGATGCCCAAGATACAAAAAGATGGCATCAGTAAGCTAGTAGGGGTAGAACAGACTGTAGAGCCAACAACCAGAGACACACCCTTTTCCCAAGCATCCCCGAAGAGAGAACCAACTCAATGGGATCACCCCAACTTTAATCCCTTTGGGAGCCACTCCATTCTGCAGAAATCCCCACCTCTGTCCTCTAAGGGCTCCTACCACTTTGACCCAGATAACTTTGATGAATCCATGGATCCCTTTAAGCCAACCACAACTTTAACAAGCAGCGACTTTTGTTCTTCCACTGGTAATCATGTTAATGAAATATTAGAATCACCTAAGAAGGCAAAGTCTCGTTTAATAACGTGAGTGACGTTGGGTGCTGGGTGCTATGTCTGTGTATTCTCTTTGAGTTCAGCAGTAGCTACTTTTGGTTTTAGTGAGCTACATTTATCTTGGAGGTGCACTGGGACTATACAAAGCTTATGACTTTATTCTGTACTCTAAGAGTTTTCCTTTCTAGGTTTTTGACTAATTTTTGAATCCTTGACTTATTTAACTAAACTTTTATAGGTATTCCTTACTCTGCATAGTTTTATGTTTATTTTTTTGTCAGTTGTGGGGCTTGAACTCAGGGCCAGGGTCCTGTCCCTGAGTTTCTTTGTGCTCAAAGTTAGTGCTCTACCACTTTGAACCACAGCTCCTCTTCTGGTTTTCTGGTGGTAAATTGGAGATAAGAGTGTCACAGACTTACCTGCCTGGGCTGGCTTTGAACTGTGATCCTTTGATCTCAGCCTCAGGGGTAGCTAGGATTATAGGCGTGAGCCATTAGCACTCAGCTCTGCATAGTTGTTTTTTTTTTTTGCTAAAAAAAAAAATCAGGTAGAGATTTGATGGGTTCATAAACCTCAGTCAAAATTACTTTGGATACAGAATTCAAATGTAAGTGTTGTACATGTATGTGTACACATGCATAGGCACGTGCGCTGGTGGGGCATGAACTCAGGGCCTGGATGGTGTCCTTGAGTTTTTTTGCTCGAAACTAGTGCTCTACTACTTGAGCCACAAATCCACTTCTGGCTTTTTGGTGGTTAATTAGAAAAATCTCATGGATTTTCCAGTCTCAGCTGGCTTTGAACCATAACCCTCAGAACTGTAATTCTCACCTTCCTAAGAAGCTAGGATTATAAATGTGAGCCACCAGTGCCCAGTGGGGAGGGGAGAAGAGAGAGAGAGAGAGAGAGAGTATGTAAACCTACTACAAAAATAGGTGGTGAGGATTCTTGTCTTCTTTAGCAAGAAAGTGAATTTCTGATAAACCAAGGATGGTTTAAAGGATCAATTAAGTCTGAATAAATTAATCAATTAGTCTTCTGTCTTATCCTCCCTCCAACTCCCATTTCTCCCAAGAAACCTGGATGAACTTTGGGAAGCTTTTTGGAGTTCTCAGGCCATGTCAAAGCTTCTGTTTAACTTCATTGCAAGATTACCTTAATTGAGTACATGACAGTGTATCTCTTTTTAACTCTGATATTTTCCTAAAAGACATAAAAAGGACCAAATGACACCAATAATAAAATGTGAAATGGGAAGATGAAGAGACCATACTTGTAACTGTCACTTCATCAGTTGAGGAAGTGCTTCTCAACATTACTGTTACTTCAGTAAAAATACCAGATGGTGAATCGTACTAGAAAGGAAAATATCTGGAATAATGGAAAGTACAGATTTCAAGACAAGCAGACTGTGCAACATAGGAATCAGTCAGTTCTCCAGAATATCCCCTAGCATATCTGTGGGGTGAATGTAGTTCTTGGTTTGATTGTATATGAGCAGTTGAATGCTTATTGAAAAACAGTATCCATTGGATGTTGGTACAGTTTTCTTTTGTGGGTTTTAAGGTTAGCTAGGTAGTCTAGACAGCACTGGGCATATCACTGCCTTGGTACTTTGTCCTCTAAGGGTGGTGCTTCTTACCAAAGTTGTTAGGAGTCATTTGGAAGCTATGTGTTCAAAGCATGAAGCAAGTTCATTTGTGTTAGATGAGATTAAATCTGTATCAAAAAGGAAATGTACTTAGTACCAAGAAGCTTCTTGCCTTGAGTCGGCCATCCTCACCTGATAGTGTTTTCCTTTTGCTTTTTTGTGGAATGCACTTCTTGATCTAATATGTCTTCCACATTAAAAAATAGTACACAAAATTCTTTTCTTTCTATAAAAAGCACTGCTAGACCTCTTATGTAATATTAGGATTTTGGTGACCAGAGCTCTTCATTTGTAGAAAGGACTGAAAGCAATATTTGATAGTAACATCTAGTGGGTAGTTAGGAGTTTTATGAAACATTCAAAAAGATGTATATGAGCTGGGTGCCGGTTGCTCTTGCCTGTAATCCTAACTACTTAGGAGGCTGAGAACTAAGGATGACAGTTCAAAGCCAGCCTGGGAAGGAAAACACGTGAGACTCTTTTTTCCAGTTAACTACCCAAAATGCTGGAAGTGGGGCTGTGGCTCAAGTGATAGAGGGCTAGCCTTGAGAACAAAAGCTCAGGGACAGCACTCAGGTCCGGAGTTCAAGTCCCAAGACTGACATACACATGAAGAGATGTATGTGATTCATGTCGAGATTCTTCTATGAAATGGACACAGCATAATATGATTGGTATTTTTCAGACCAAATAAGGTAGATGGTGTGAAATCATTTTAAGCTGTTTTCATGGTTTTTTTTGTTTTTCTTCTGAGACAGGATCTCAGTATTAATCCTAGGCTGGCCTAGGTCCTATGGCTCTCTCGCCTCAGCTTCCCAAGCACTGGGATTCCAGGTGACATCACTCATTTAAACCTGGCTGAAAATTTGGTGGTACACACCTACTATAGAGATACTCAGATTTCTTCTCAATTACATTTTTGTTCATTTTTTTACCTTTGATCTGGATGATTACACAGTAAAAAATATAGACATTCTCAGTAGTGAAATATTGTCTTTACATATACATTTTTATATATATTTGAAGGTTTACTTTTCATCTGTTGATTTGCATCTATGGCATTTCTGAGTGTTTATACCATTCTATTAGTCCATTAGAGTTGAGGACTTACTAGTCATTTCCTCACCAGTGCTAACATTCAGGAATACATTTTAAATTTGTATCTCATCTCATAGAGAAAACCATTTTTACATCTACCAGAATCAAGATATTCTAGTCTTTACATGATTTTTTTCTCCATCTGTCTGTCTCTCTTGTCTCTAATTTTGTTGGTGCATCAGGACTACTGAGCAAGTGAAATTTCTCTGTTTTCTGTTGTAAGTACTCTTGCTATTGATGCTTTTTGTCCCTGGGACTGCTAGAAGTCCCCTCTCCTAGCCCTGCTCCACTCTCTTTCCATAGCATGTTGGCTTTTCTTTTTCAGTTTCCCTTTTTGGTGATTTGTTTTTCTTTTGCATTTCATTTTTCCCCCTCATAAGTTGGCTTAAGCCTTGCAAGTCTGTACCTAAAGGAGTGGAAATGACCCTTTCCACCTTAGGTGCTAGAGCTTGTGTTCCCTGGCTTGGCACGCTTTGAATACCAAAAGCTGGCTTGGCCCCAAGAAGTGCTGTGGCTTGGCTACAGCACTGGTTCGAGGGACTCTTCTGCTAGATATTTTTGATAACTTATAGCCACTAGAACAGGTAATATATCTTACTAGTAAATTTCACTGAGTCATCCTGAGTTAGATGACAGAGGGTGGCATTCAGAGCATAAGGGAAAGACGATGGACTAGTGATAGTATGCATTCTGGTAACTTGGTACTTATCTTTGTGTTTTTTGCAACATACAAAAGCAAGTTGCAAATAGTTTTTTTTTTCTTTTTTTGGTTGTTTGTTCTTTTCTTTAATTGTTATTATTAAGTAGTTGTACAAAAGAGTTAACAATTTTTTTTTAAACTGAAAACTTTAAGCTTATTAAAACAGCAGAATCTGAGTTAACCTTGTGATCACAAATTATAAACTAGCCTAAAAATAATGGTGGAGTGGGGTGGGGGGGAGCGGAAGGTATCTAAGTTTTCCCTAGTTGTGGCCTTATTTTACATTTCATGGTGCTCATCTTCCGTCTTGGTACATAAAAATAATTGCTTAAATATTTTAACTTATATACTTTCATTGACTACAGTTCTTTTCTGTAAGTACCCAGAAGCTCTGGAGTAGAGCTGTCTTAGGAAATATCTGTGGCTTTTAGGACAATAAAGACTTTTTAAAGACTTTTGTGCAGCGTGATGATTTTCCTGATGAACGTCAAAGTCAAGGGAGTAACAATCAGACTAGAACATCTGTAGGCTTACGACTGTACTGTTTAAAAGGCTTTAGAGATGTGTAATTAAGCAGTGTAGGAGTCAGAGTACTGGTATTGACAACACATAGAAGCACACAAAGTAGTCTTTCAGAGAATGAGCCCAGCTGTCATTCTTTGCATACCCTGACAGCCAAGGTGTCTCTGTCTCTACCATGCACATGTGTGACTTGTGTGGTGCTGTTTGCTTTGGCTTCTCTTTGCAACACTGCCCTCTGCTCCACCTCATACCTTCCGAGTTGTCATTGTGATTCCAAACTGGCTCTTGCCTGTTTTCCTCTTTTTCTAGGAGTGGCTGTAAGGTGAAGAAATATGAAACTCAGTCTCTGGCTGTGGATACTAGCTCTCAGGTAAGTCTGTGCCTGTTACCGGAATGATTCTTAGACCAGTTGGCCCCCAGTTAGAGTTTGTAACCCCTATATGTGGCTCAAGAAAAATCTCCAGTGGCTGCCTGAGTACTCAGCTTTAAGAAAAACATTGTTGTGATCATGTCCTAAAATCCAGGAAGGGCTTAGAAGAGAAGTAACTGTTTTCACAATGAAGAGTAAAGTTTCACCTTTAAAAAAATAAAATTCCTAATCTGAGTCTTACAAAGTCATATCACCACATATTGTGAAACCTTTTAAGACATCAAACAGAGGAAGGATTGGAAATATTGGTTGGTGTAGGAACTGACTCTGTTCCTTTCTTAGAAAGTACATTGTAATCTTTTTTTTTTTTTTTTTTTGTCGGTCATAGGGCTTGAACTCTGAGCCTGGGCGCTGTCCCTCAGCACTTCAGCTCAAGGCAAGTGCTCTACCACTTGAGCCACAGCACCACTTCTGGTTTTCTGATGGTTTATTGGAGATAAGAGTCTCATGGACTTTTCCTGCCCATGCTGGCTTTGAACCATGATCCTCAGATCTAGCCTCCTGAGTAGCTAGGAGTACAGGCATGAGCCACCAGTGCCTGGTAATTTCCAATTTATTGCTCTAACAGCACCTGAGTTGCCACCTGATAAATCATTAAAAATAAGTTTTGATGACAGGATGTTTTGGCTACAACTTGGAAAAGAATTGGATGGCATTTCTATTAGAACACTTTTCTTCTGTTAAATCCCTTTTTTTCTATAAATAAGGGTTTGTATTATAATTACAAAACTGGAAACCACTAATGAAATTGATGCTTTTTAAAATTCCAGTAATAAGTATATCTAACAGTAAATTTGTAGCCCATGACTGTATAAAGTGTGAGGAAACAAAAAAACCCAAACCAACAACCTCACCCCTCCAAAAAATACAAACCTCAGGTTTACCTGATTGCAGTGAGCCACTTTAAAAAATGTATTTCAATATAATTACAAGAATATATTCATAACAGTTAAGGGACACAATTTAACATCATTCTGTACAACTTGTACAGAAATTTATACATAGTTTAAGATTTTTTTTTAAAGCCAGGGAGGTATTTGAACTCTTGGCCTGGGCGCTGTCCCTCAGCTCTTCAACTCAAGGCTAGCACTCTACCACTTGGTTTTCTGAGTGGTTTATTGGAAATAAGAGTCTCATGGACTTTCCTGCCTGGGCTGGCTTTGAACTGCAATCCTCAGATCTCCTGAGTAGTTATTTTTTGAGTGTTACAAATGTATGAAAGCAAATCAGGTAACAGGAACTTTGAGAAACTTACTTTTGATTTGCTAAAAACAAAGATCCCTAACTTATCGGCAGAAGTTTTAAAACTTGGTGCAATAGTTCTGGGGTTTGATAACTCTTATAAAAACTTGCACTCCTTCCTTGCTTCCTTCCTTCCTTGCTTCCTTCCTTCCTTCCTTCCTTGCTTGCTTGCTTGCTTCCTTCCTTCCTTCCTTGCTTCCTTCCTTCCTCCCTTCCTTCCTTCCTTTTGTTTTTTGTCGGTCGTGGGGCTTGAACTCTGGGCCTGGGCGCTGTCCCTCAGCTCTTAAGCTCAAGGCTAGTGCTCTACCACTTGAGCCACAGCGCCACTTCCAGTTTTCCAGTGGTTTTATTGGAGATAAGAGTCTTTCCTGGAAGTGGCACTGTGGCTCAAGTTGTAGAGCGCTCACCTTGAGCTGAAGAGCACAGGGACAGCGCCCAAGCCCAGAGTTCAAGGCCCACGACCGACTACCACCCCCCCCCACCCCCCCCCCCCACAAAAAAAAAAACACCTTAAAAAAAAGTCTTTCCTGCACTGGATAGCCTTGAACCGCAATCCTCAGATCTCAGCCTCCCGAATAGCTAGAATTATAGGTGTGAGCCACTGGCACCTGGCTAACTTGCACTATTTTCAAGATAAGTTGTATATTAGTAGGTGTGTTTGTCATTCTCCAGAAAAAAAAGATTAACAATTTACACTTCGGAGCAAGGAAAAAAATGTCTAAAAATGTTTTTAGAGAGAAATCTAGGATAGAGAGACCTGAACAGACTTTTAATGATACAAGCAGGAAGTGATGTAGAGTTCCAAATGAAGTAGAAGTGAAGTAGAATTACAAATTCAGAAATAGGAATAATGTCTATTTCTGACTATTGAGCAGCTGTTTAGCTGGGCATCAATAACTTATATCTGTAATCTGATCTTGGTTCAAGGCCAGCCAAGATAGAGAAGTTCCAGAGACCCCTTCTTAATCCTATAGCTTGGTGCTGTGGCCCACACCAGTCATCCTAAACTATGTGGGAGGTTGAGATTGGGAGGCCCATGGTTTCAGGTAAGCCCAAGAAGAAAAGTCTGAGAGACTCTTATCTTCACCAAGGGAAGCTGGACATGTAGTATGCCTGTGATCCCAGCAACTATGCAAAATCTAAAATAGATCTTGGTCCAAGTAGAATCCTGGCAGGAAACAAGACTGTATCTCATAAAGTAACCAGCAAAAAAACAGCTGAAGGCATGACTTAGCAGAACATTGTCTGGCAAACATGAGGCCCTGAATTCAAACCTCAGTGCTGTCCTCCCCACCAAAAAAGAAGACATATTTGTATACTTGAGAGGGAAAAAGAAATTGTGCATGCACACATGCGCTCCTCTGTCCTGGGGCTTAAACTTAGGACCTGGACACTGAGGTTTTTTTTATTCAAGGTTAGCTAGAAGCTCTCCACTTTGGCTTTTTGGTGGTTAAGTGGAGATAAGAGTCTTTTGGAGGGCTGGGAAGGTGGCTCAGTGGTAGAGTGCTTGCCTTGCATGCCTGAGGCCCTGGGTTCGATTCCTCAGCACCACATAAGAAAAAAGCCGGAAGTGAAGCTGTGGCTCAAGTGGTAGAGCGCTAGCCTTGAGCTGAAGAGCTGAAGGACAGCGCCCAGGCCCAGAGTTCAGACCCCACAACCGGACCCAAAAAAAAAAAAAAGAAAAGTCTTTTGGACTTCCCTGCATGGGCTGGCTTTGAACTGTGATCCTCAGATCCTAGCTTCTACTGAGGAGCTAGGATTACAGGCATGAGCTACTAATACCCAGCTGGTTGATGTACTTAAAAAAATAAGTCACCGGCTATCAAATTGCTGGAGTAACTTAAGTTTCATTAAGCAAGTATATTTAGAATATTCAACATATTATACCTTAGAGATTTAAAGGTAATTTATTCTCTTAAAGATGTTTAATTATTATAATTTAAAATGTTCTTATTCCAAAAAATTTTAGAAGTAACTTGAAAATTACATGGACTTTCAAAAATAATTAGGAGGTATATGTGCAAGAAAACTTGAAAACTATCGTTTTCAGTTGCTTAATTAAGCTTATAAATTTAAATTTGGACTAGAAAACACTATAACCCTAGCATTGTTGAAGGTAAGATGTGAGGATCAGAGTGCAAAGCCACCATGACCAAGCAACTCTGTGAGACTGTTATCTCCAATTAACCATCAAAGTGACGTGAAGCTGTGGCTGAACAGGTAGAGCACCAGCTGTGAATATAAAAAGCTAAAGTATAGCACCCAAGCCCTGAGTTCAAGCCCTAGTACTGACCCCCAAAAATTAATGAAAGGGTTAGACACCAGTGGCTCATGTCTGTAATCCTAGCTATTCAGGAAGTTGAAACCTAAAGATCAAGTTTTGAAGCCAGTCCAGGCTAGAGGCACAGCTCAAGTGATTAGAGTGCCAGTTATGAGCAAGGAAGCTGAAAGGATGCAAGGCCACTGAAATCAAACTCTAGTACTAGGAGAAAAAAAGCAAGAAAAGCTTGTGTTTTCAAACCACAGACCCAAGTTACAGAAGCAAGGTTCTAGGAAGCACCACAGTTCATAATTGGGACACCAGCTTTCTTCCCACTTTAGACCTGTATCTCATTAATTCTGTATCTGTATGGAATTGTGACTGCTTGCTCCATTGCTGATGTGTTCCATTATTTGCCTCCTAACTGGTAGTGTCTGTTCTTAAATTTGCCAGGATGAAGGAGCAGTGATCTCCCAGATTCCAGACATTTCTAACAGAGATGGTCATGCGACTGATGAGGAAAAACTGGCATCCACATCATGTGGTCAGAAATCATCTGGGGCCGAGGTGAAAGGTGAGCCAGAGGAAGACCTGGAGTACTTTGAATGTTCCAATGTTCCTGTGTCTACCATAAATCATACGTTTTCATCCTCAGAAGCAGGTATGGAAACATATCTTCGTCTTTCTAATATACATAAGCCTAGAAATGCCTGAAAGCTTAAAGCAGGAGGTACCCTAGAGAGATTAGAGAATTGGGTCACTTGAGGGATAGATTAGGATGCTGATCTATGCTTTGCAGTGGCAAAGCTTTTGTAGACAAAGCATGTCTACAGAAGATATGCAGCAAAGTATTATCCAAGGACTAGAGACATAGTTAAGTGTGGGAAGATGTTCAGGAGACACTGATTGAATTTCCCTGTAATTTTGCACTAAAATAGCCATATCAAGTATAGTGTCTTATAAATATGCTGTGCATTTGGCTTTTTTGCATTTAAGCTCATTTAACTCACAGAACTTGTAACAACTACCACTGTAGCACTACATATGAACATTGCTCTGAGTGCTTCATGTGATCCTCACTGGTTATGCTTTTCACCATTCTTCAAAGAGATAGAGTATGGCACAGAACTTAAGAAACTTGACCAATATTGCTTGGCTGGCATTGAAGAGGAAATGAGTATCTTTTTATGCCCATTGTAAAGTTCATTTCTGAGACCTCTATCATAAAAACAAGACTAATGGGAAAAAATGTACAAGCTAATATAAGGGCTTTTTTTTTTGAATTAGCATCTAATAACCTATTTCCAGGGGAAACATGCATCAAGGGAGATGGACAGAGAGACCTTCCTGCTTCTACTGCTTCCTCAAATGTTGAGGTGTTATATTTGGGGTAGTATGTTCTGAACACTGCTACTACTACCACAAGCTAAGCAGTATGCTTCCATGGCCTTTAACACCAATGCTTAAGTGTGAAGTGATTCTTTTCTCTTTTTTTTGTCGGTCATGGGGCTTGAACTCTGGGCCTGGGAGCTGTCCCTCAGCTCTTCAGCTCAAGGCAAGCACTTTACCACTTGAGCCACAACACCACTTCTGGTTTTCTGGTGGTTTATTGGAGATCTCTCAGACTTTCCTGCCCAGGCTGGCTTTGAACCTCAATCCTCAGATCTCAGCCTCTTGAATAGCTAGGATTACAGACATGAGCCACCAGCGCCTGGCAAAGTGATTATTTTCATCATATTAAGCTACTGTAAATTTACCTGTCACCAAATAGTAGGTTGACTTAATTGGTGTACATAAAATTCTTAACATTCTAATGAAATCTAGCCTTATTATATATAGCACTCCTGGCTTTTATACTTAGAATTTTTAAAGTCATAATCTGCCATCCAACAAGGGAAACATGGGAAGTTATTTCCTTGACCTCCCTATCCCCCAGGTATCAGTTTCCTATCTGTTAATGAGCTTTCTGTTGCTACAATTAATACCTGAGACAACCTACTTGTGAGCAATAAGGCTGATTTGGTTCATTGTTCTAGAATGAACATGATCAAGTGGACTTCTTGCTTTTAAGCCTCTGGTGAGGAAAGATCCTGTGGTTGAGCGGGACTGCTTACTTCATGGCCAGGAAGTAAAAGAAAGGGAAAGGGGCCTGGAGTCCCAAAATCTTCAAGGACAGGTACCTAGTGACCCAAAGACCTCTCCTGGTTCCCTCTTAAGAGTCCCATCACTTCCCAATAGGGCCACCCTTGTGACCAACCTTTTAACACATTGGACTTGGAGAAACATTCCAGATCCAAACAATAGAGCCACTCATAATAAAATAACTGTATCAGACACTGCCTAAATTTTTTTTCCCCAAAGCCTTGCTCACTACTGTCCTAAATACCTACTTTCTCAAGGTTAATCTTTAGTACTTTTGTGCGGCTTTTGTTTTTCCACATATCTGAAACATCTTTCTTTGCCATTTCTTACAAAAATTCTGCTATTTTTTTTTCAGGTGTGTCATGAATGTTCCTTGGATCCCACTGTACTCTCTGCTCTCACTACAATTTCTTCTATTCCCCTTGTAGAAAGGGGACTTAGAAATTCTCAAAGTCAGGGATGACTATGAGAGGCCTGCTTTTGTATTTCTTCTGGTACAAGTATATGGCAAAAAATATGGCAAATTTTTGAAGAAATTTCATGCATAGGAGTTATTAGAAACAGCTCTAATAGCTACAGTGCTATCCTCAATGTTGGTAAATTGGCTAGTTGTCTTTGGAACAGTGGTAACAGATTTAAACAAAGATGTTTGACTGTGACTACCTCTGTCCAAGGAGCAGGCAAAGGCTGTGGGTGATGGGTAGAGGGTTACCATTGGCTCTACTGTATGACTGTTTCCTGGAGAGATTCCAGGGAGAAGTGGGTCCTGATGGATAGGGACATAGTTTTCCAGGAAATGAGGAAGCACACAGCCTGGGAATGCCACGTTGGTAAAATGCTCACTGGCTTTCTTCATGTATAGGACAAGTAGGAATGGAGAGTGTAGTGAGGAATTTAGGGATGCTTTGAGAGATGTGAGTATTGAAATAATGGTCATATTTGTGTTTTAAACAATCATTGACTAAAACAATACCTATGTGAAGGATTGTGGCTTTAAATTTTGGTGTCATCTTTTTTTTGTTGTTGTTTTTGTTTTGGTCTGTCGGTTGTGGTACATTGTCCCTCTGCTCTTCAGCTGAAGGCAGGTGCTCTACCACAGCACCACTTCCAGTTTTCTGGTAGTTATTCGGAGATAAGAGTCTCGGGGAGTTTCCTGCCCTGGCTTTGAACCTTGATCCTCAGATCTCAGCCTCCTGAGTAGCTAGGATTACAGGTGTGAGTTACCAGCACCCAGCATTGGTATAGTTTTTTTTTTAATATCTTTATATTTTATTCAATGAGAACATAACCTGTTATTTTCTTTTTTTCTTATTTAATGTCACTTATTGTGATAAAGTAAAAAAAAAAAAAACAACTGATAAAACCAGTTAGGGGCTGGGAAGGTAGCTCAGTGATAGAGTGCTTGCCTTGCATGCATGAGGCCCTGGGTTCAATTCCTCAGCACCACATAAGCAGAAAAAGCCAGAAGTGAGGCTGTGGCTCAAGTGGTAGAGTGCTAGCCTTGAGCTGAAGAGCTCAGGGACAGCACCCATGCTCAGAGTTCAGGCCCCATGACTGACCAAAAAAAAAAAGAAAGAAAGAAAGAAAACCAGTTAGAAGAGTATTGATAGGATAATCAACACACTTTTTTAAGCTTGAAATTTAAAGCTTGTCATTTTTTGCTCCAGTAATTATATTGAGGGTGTCCTTCCAGGTTAGAATTTAAATTCATTCAGACTTGGAAACAAAATAGTGTCCAGTGAATTAGAATTTCCTTTTTCTGAAACAATTCCATGGTAATTACAACTCATGTGCTAAACTTTCAGTGGACACAAGGGGGCAGCCTAGTGCTTCTTTTTGCCAGAAGATTGACTGCATGCATTCTTCTGAAGTGTAAGTCTTTTAACATGGAACAAATAGGGCTCACTAGAATGCCAGTGCTCCTTTAAAATCTTGAAATGCTCTTGATGTGTTCATAGTAATTTTTGGCCTGCATGGAGTTCCTGAGCCTTTCATTAGGAAGGAAAGGAATCGATTTCTTGAGAAAATTAAAAGAATAACTTTCTGTGTTTTAGGCATAGAGAAAGAGACTTGCCAGAAGATGGAAAAAGATGGCTCCACTGTGCTTGTAAGTTCCTAAACTTGGAGGCATGGGGTGGAACTCAGATTTCTTTCAGTAATGGTTTTGAAGCCCATGTTAATTTGTTAAATTCTAATATATGTGCATATGTGTGTGTGTATATATATATATGTATATATATTATATAATGCAGCAGGTGTCTGATGACATGGCAGGGTGAGAAAGGCTGAATCTGAGATAAGTTAAAAACAAAATCTTTATTTTCTACTAAGCTTAGACTTGTAAAAGTAATACATAAAATCTATAAGCTACACACTGGTGATTCTTACCTGTAATACTAGATACTCAGGAGGCTAAGATCTAAGTATTGTGTTCAAAGCTAGTCTGGGCAGAAAAAAATCCATGATACTCTTCTCCAATTAACTATCAAAAATCCAAAAGTAAAGTGGAGGTATGGCTCAAGTGGTAGAGTGCTAGCCTTGGGCATTAAGGCTCAAGAACAGTGTCCAGACCCTGAATTCAAGTCCTAGGTTCGGCACATAAAAAAAAAAAAATCTTGTATATCTTTCACCCATTGTCTTAAATATTAGTTTTACACATGGCTATACATACACATATATAATATTACTTAGTTTCTTCACCTAAGGAATTTACAATTTATGCAAAATGTTTTATACAATAGCCATTAGTCATGTGGTGTTTTGTTTTAATGTCACTGGGGTGAAGAATCTAGGGTAAAATAACCTTTTCTTGAGCACAGGGCTAGTACCAGTCTTTTGAAAGATGATGGCAACTTTTAAAACAGTTTTACTGTTTCTAGGCTTGGTCTCTTACCTTTTGGCATAAGCTAGTTCCTTTTAAAGTTTGCCAAAAGTAACACTTCCTGGTATCTTCAGTATGTAAAAACAATGAAGGAATGATTAGAAAAGCTATACTGAGCAGACAAAACATTGTCTATGTGGTTACAAAATCAGGTGGTTTGCCAAGTACTTGAAACCAGCTCTTTTAAATATCCTGATTTATGATTTATGCATCTGTAAAGTGAACAACAGTACCTGTCTGCTTCATCAGGATAGCTGGGAGGAAAAGAGTAAAGGGTAATTGAAAGACTTAAGACTATAGTAAAGTAATGGTTTTTAGAAAGAATAGAAAGGAATACTAGAGTATACGCATCTCTAGAGCCAGATATTATATGTTGTGACTTCTTAGAAGCAATCTCATATGAACTTCCTGCCATAAATCAGTTTGTACTTCCTTAAAACTTTGAATAGACACTGTGTTAAGAAATTTCCATCTACGTGCAGGAGGTATAGCTTGCCTAGCATGCACAAAGGCTTAGGTTTGATCACCAGCACTGAAAACAAGAAATTTTAATCTTAAAAATGTTGAAGAAAGAGTTTGACAAAACGCTGAAACAAGGACACAGGATGACCCATTGCAACAATGATACCCACAAGACAGTATATTGGAAATGAACTTTACAGCTTGGGGGTAGGGAGGAGTGAGGAGGGTGGGGGAAGGAAGGGATAGTGGGAAAACAACATGGGAGGGGTAACAATGCTTGACCAGAAAGGTACTCATTACCTTACTCATGTAACTATAACTCCTCTGTACAGCATCTTTACAATAAAATAAGATTAAAAGAAAATCTGAGTTTGGCATGGGTGGTGCATCTGTAATCTTAGCCACTCAGGAGGCCTGAGAAGTCAGCTTGAGCAGAAAACCCTTGAGACTGCATCTCCAAAATAACCAGGAAAAAAACCTGGCTAAGTGCAATTAGTAGAGTACTGGCCCTGCAAGCAAACCAAGTGATCATGAGGCCCCTGAATTCAAACCTTGATACAGAGACACAGCGAGACACAGAAAAGAAATCTATGTTAATAACTACGTCTTTAAATGGTGAGCATTGAATCTCATCATTTCTTTCTTTCTTTTTTTTTTTTTTTTTCTGGTCATGGGGCCTCAACTCTAGGCCTGGGCGCTGTCGCAGCTCTTCAGCTCAAGGCTAGCACGCTACCACGTGAGCCACAGCCTCACTTCTGGCTTTTTCTGCTTATGTGGTGCTGAGGAATCAAACGCAGGGCCTCATGCATGCGAGGCAAGCACTCTACCACTGAGCTGCCTTCCCAGCCCTCATCTTTGCATTTTTTAGTGGCAGCATTTTTCACTTAGGAGTCTGCTTTTATTTATTTATTTTTTTAGAAGTCATAAACTTGAGTTTAGTTTTCTTGGTTCTCCAGCCATGTCTCAGTTAGACTAGCATATAGTACTGCTGTTCCAGTGACTCAAAGACAAAGGCTGAGATGAGCATGGCCAGCAAAGCACAGATTACTGATGCTAATGCTTCTACCCACTGCAAGGACATCAGAGTTAGTTTCTTGTCTTATTTTTGTTCACAGTAAGTTTGTAGCCAGGATACTACTGAATAGCCATCAAGACATATCTGTCTTAGTCCTTAAATCATAAGGGACCAGGAGAAAGAATAGGAAATAAGAAACTAGATCTTTTCAGAATATAATTGACTGATTCAGGCAGCTTCATTAAACATACGCTAGCTTCTGATGCAGTCCTAGAGATGACATGGCCAATTTTTGTGCTAGTAGATTCTAGGTACTTTTCACATTGTTTTTAAGCAGTAAGTCCTGGGAAACTGAAGAGTGGCTAAAATAGGTCACAGTATAAATCCTACCTCAACCACCTTATGACATCATTCTTCATAGAAATAGAAAATTAAAATCCTAAAATTAATATGGAAATATAAAAGACCAGATAGCCAAAAAAACAATCCTAAGCAATGCTTGGAGGTATCACGATATCTAACTTTTACTTATATGACAGAACTATAGTTAAAAAAAAAAAGCATTATACTGGTACATGGTCTTTTCCATGTAGATGAATGGAATAGAATATTAGACCCAGAAATAAGTCAATAAATAAACTCAGGGCCTGGACACTGTCCTTGAACTTTTTTGCTTAAGGCTAGGATTGTACCACTTGAGCCACAGCTCCACTTCCAGCTTTTTTGGTAGTTAGTTGGAAATAAGACTCTCATGGACTTTTCTGCCCAGACTGGCTTCAAAGCATGATCCTTAGGCAGACATTGGTGGTTCATGCCTGTAATCTTAGCTACTCAGGAGGCTGAGATCTCAGGATTGCAGTTCAAAGCTGGCCCAGGCAGGAAAGTCCGTGAGACTCTTATCTCCAAGTAGCCACCAGAAAACCGGAAATGACACTGTGGCTCAAGTAGTAGAGCGCTTGCCCTGAGCTGAAGAGCTGAGGTACAGCGCCCAGGCCCAGAGTTCAAACCCTCCAATCGACCAAAAAAAAACACAGTCCTCAGATCTCACCCTCCTGGGTAGCTAGGGTTACAAACATGAGCTAACAGCTACAGGCCTGGACATTTGTTGGTATTGTTTTCTTGGAGATAGCCATCCTTAATAAGTGATTTTGGTATAGCTTTGATTGGTGTTTCCTTTATGGCAAAGTATGTTGAACATTTTTTCATGTATTTGTTCAATTCATTTGCCCATTTATTTATTGGATTATGTGTTCCAGTGTCATTGGAATTTTGATGAGAATTACTTTGAGTCTGTATTTTGCCCATCAATGGACATTGGATGTCCTTCCATCTTCAAGAAGAGGGTTTTCTTAATTTTCTTTTTTCGGTATTTCTTGTGGAAGTCTTTCATCTCCTTGGTTAGATTTTTGTTTGTTTTTGTTTGTTTTTGCCGGTCATGGGGCCTGAACTCTGGGCCTGGACGCTGTCCCTCAGCTCTTCAGCTCAAGGCTAGCACCCTACCACTTTAGCCAGAGCACCACTTCCAGCTTTTTCTGATTATGTGGTGCTGAGGAATCGGACCCAGGGCCTCATGCATGCAAGGCAAGCACTCTACCACTGAGCCACCTTCCCAGCCCCTCCTTGGTTAGATTTAGTCCTAGGATTTTTATTTTAGTGTTTTGAGTTTTTGTTGTTGTTTTCTTCATTTTTGCTATTGTGAATGGGATTGTTTTCCTGGTTTCTTTTCCTCAGGGTAATTGTTATTGGTATAGGTAAGCTTTTTTTTTTTTATCTTTTCTTTTTTTTTTCTTTTTTTTGCCAGTCCTGGGGCTTGAACTGTAGGCCTACGTCCCTGAGCTTTTATGCTCAAGGCCAATGCTCTACCACTTGAGACACAGCTCCACTTTCAGTTTTTTTTTTTGTAGTTTAGTGGTGATAAGAGTCTTATGGACTTTACTGCCCGGGCTGGCCTCAAACCACGATCTTCAGATCTCAGCCTCCTGAGTAGCAAGTATTACAGGTATAAGCCACTGGCACCCAGCAAAAAACTGTTGATTTCTATATATATATATTTGTATTCTCTACTTTGCTGAAAGTGTTTATCAGATCTCAGAGTTTTCTGGTAGAACAATAGGAAAGTTTCTTGATAGGAAGCCAAGCACAAGCTGACTCCCATGTCCAGAGCTATGTTGGCTATCTATAAATTACTTCAAAACTTAGTGGCTTAAAACAACAAACATTTATTATTTCATTGTTCCTACAGGTTAGGAACCTTGGGATAGTGTTGCTGGGTCCTCTCACCAAGGACCTCCCACAATCAAGCTGTTGACAAAGCTGTAGTTGACTCTAAACTTGACGTAGGGTAGATTCACTTTCAGGCTCACTCAAATCATTCTTGGTCACATGGGCCTTTCCATAGAGCCTCTCAATACATAGAAGCCACAGTCATTATGCAACCTATTTTCAAAAATGATATCTCTAGGGGCTAGGAAGGTGGCTCAGTGGTAGAGTGCTTGCCTTGCATGGATGAGGCCCTGTGTTCGATTCCTCAGTATCACATAAGCAGAAAAAGCTGGAAGTGGCGCTTTGGCTCAAGTGGTAGAGCACTAGCCTTGAGCTGAATTGCTCATGGACAATGCCCAAGCCCAGAGTTCAGGCTCCACAACTGACAAAAAAAAATAGTATCATTAGGATATGGCTAAAGTCATGTGAATCCAGATTCATAAAGATTCATAAAGTCACTGAATCCAGATTCCACCCAAAAGGGAGAGATTACACAAGACAATTAGTGCTAGTGACAGAGGCTTTCACCACAAATACCTTCTGGTTCTTGTAGTAGAACTATGCCAACATAGAAAAAGAGGTTCTGGGGTATTCTTGGACAGCTTGAGCTGTCCTCCCACAAATGTTGCAGGAAAATGGGCCCTTTCAGCTGGTAGCTCCTGTCTTTATTCTGTGAACTGAGTTTCTATGGCTGAGATCTGTGAAGATGTATGCTAAAATTGTATGTGTGTGTGTGTATGTAGCATTTAGAGAGTAGATGAAGCTATAACAATTTTGGATTTGGACTTGGTTCAAATAAGATAGTAGACAATGAACTGATTATAAATTAGCAACTAACCTATCAGTATACTTCCATTTTAGAGTATTAAGATTATCCCCAGTCATTTTGGCATTTGGATATTCTCCAACTAATCATACATGTATATAAAACTTCTCAGCTTTTTCACTCATGGCAGTACTCTACTACCTGAGCCACACTTCCACTTCCAGCTTTTTGCTTGTTACTTGGAGATGAGTCTTGGATTTGTCTACTGGGCTAACTTTGAACTGAGATTTTTCAGATCTCAGCTAGCGTAGCTAGGTTATTGGCTTGATTCACTGGTGCCAGACTAGAACCATATTTCTTTATATGATACTGTAGCTAGATTATTTTAGAGCTATCCTCCTATTCCTTCTGCAAGCACATTTTTAAGAGGTGTTGTGAATTTTGTAATAAGGAAGTTTTTGAAAGATACTTAAGTGTTAAATAAGCAAAAGCTGAAACTATCAACTATTATCTTTCCCCACAGGGAATGTTTGAGTCTTCTGCAGACAAGGCCCCAGTATCCGTAGAGTGTGGAGGTGAGAGTCCCCTGGATGGGATCTGCCTAAGCGAATCTGATAAGACAGCCGTGCTCACCTTGATCAGAGAAGAGGTAAAGATGTACTTGTTTTGTCTGCTTGTCACTCTGGTTCTTTACAAAGCCCAAATTCCATCTGCTGGCTCAAGTTGCTTCAGCCTGCAAGTTATTACCCCTGCAGCAGATGAGCTCACATAAAAGGCTCCCTATAAAAATCAGTGCTGTGCACGAGTCCTGACATGCTGGAATTCAGTAAAAGCTGATCTCTGAATCACACCTAAGACTTCTGTATACTTTATCTGTTATTCTGAATTGCTAAACTTTATTAACTGATCCATTGTGAAGAGGATACATGCTCATGGCTAAGAATGATTTAAATTCTAGGCTTGTAACAATGTTAAAATGTTCCCTGATCCATCTCTTCTTTAAATAATTCAGTTCCTGTTTAGGATATAGATGATTGCTATGCTTCCAGGTCACCGAAAATTAGTAAAGGCACTGTTATGTATCGGTTACCACTTCCAGTCTATTATATTTCTATGCTATATTTTACTTGTTTGGTTTATGTGTTTCTTAAAGATTCTCCCCCACCTTTTAAAGAAGTCCTAGCAATTTTATTTTTACAGCTTTGACAAAAGTAGTTAAGTATCTCTCCTCTAGATCTTTCAAAGCTTTCTATGGAGCTGACTCAGATGGTAGAGCACTTGCCTAGAAAGCACAAGTCCCGGGCTGGGAAGGTGGCTAGTGGTAGAGCACTTGCCTTGCATGCATGAGGCTGGGTTCAATTCCTCAGCGCCACATAAACAAAAAGAAAAAAGCCGGAAGTGGCGCTGTGGCTCAAGTGGTAGAGAGCTAGCCTTGAGCTGAAGAGCTGAGGGACAGCGCCCAGGCCCAGAGTTCAGGCCCCACGACCGGACCCAAAGAAAAAAAAAAAGAAAGCACAAGTCCCTGAATCCACTATGTATAATAGCATTATGCTGGCAATAGGGGATTACTTCTGATCCTATGATCAAAACTTGGAAATACTAGTCAAAAGGCTCCCCTCCCCACTCATTCCATCTTACAAATGAGGGAAATGACTTCATCTTCTTCAGGAGAGTTAGGCTATGAGATGAACACAATGGATCAAAGTAAAGATGTGCTTGGTCACCTAAAGCACACAGATGGCTTCTTGATTCTTGAGATCCTTACTGAAAGCTGTAAAAGGGAGAATACAGGAAGAACAAAGCATGATAAGGAAGTGTAGTGAAAGGTAGGAATGGTCCTGTAAAAACAGAATTGAGGTTCTTTCCATTTAGCAAGAACATCCCAAGTATGAACAAGGTCCTACCTGAACTGATGGAGCTCATGGTGGTATGCATCCTGAACCCGCATCTGACTCCATTCTTTCAAAAATCTCTCTCTCTGTATTCCCCCTCCCCTATTTCTCTTCTTTTATTCTGGTACTGGGGCTTGAACTCAGCCTGAGTGCTGTCCCTTAGCATCTTCATTCAAGGATGGCACTCTACCATTTGAGCTCCACTTTGAGCTTTTGCTGGTTAATTGGAAATAAGAGTATCACAGATTTTCCTGCTGGGGCTAGATTTGAACCACTGTCCTCAGATCTCAGTCTTCTGAGTAGCTAGGATTACAGGCTACCAGCACCCAGATGTGTCTTTATTAGTATATGTTTTAGAAGAGAGCTTTCATTGTGATATGTATACAATGTATCCCAGACAACTCCCCCCACTTTTTTACTCTACCCATTTCCTCCTCCCCCTTTTAAAAACAATTTTAACAGGTTTTATTGTTCTACTTTTCAAATATGCAAATAAACTATATCCTCTTACTGCATTTCAAGCAATTAGAAATCTCTATCTGCTGCTGGGGCATTGTACATTGCTGTAATCCTAGTATTTTGAAGGCTGAGACAGGATGATCAAGAGTTTATACTTAGTGAGACTTTGTCTCAAAACAGATTCAAAATGAAACAAAAGCAAATTTACATAGGTTGTAAATATTACATTAGTTTTTGGGAACTATTCCACAACTTTCCATGGTGGCTCTGTTCCAGTGTCCTGAGACTACTTTTCCAACTGTTTATGAACATTATAGATAGATACCCCTAATGTCAGTGGAACATATTGTATCTTATTTTTAGTCTCTAATCTCAGATTCAAAGTGTGATAGATTGTTCAGGTAATACCAGACTCTATTATAATCTAGATAATCACTAAAGAGATTGAAGCAAATGAATGGAAGAAAAAATACGAAGAAACCCGACAAGAAGTCTTGGAGATGAGGTTAGTCTGGAGGTGGGGGGTGGGGGTTGGTGCCTTTGTGCTTTGTTAGATGTGATACAGAAGTGTTTGCATAAAAGCCAACTGCTGACAACTTGCTTTATTGTCTGCCCCTTGAGAATGTCCTTGTGTAGGTTGTTACCTGACTAGTCACATATTCAAATGTAGCTTATTTGAGTTACCAGACAACTATATGTAAGCAGAATCACATAATTCTTGTCTTTTTAAAAGAATCAATATAAATATATACAAAAATAGCCAATTAGAATACAGGGTAATAAGATTTATTTATCTATTGATATATTGATTATATGATACATTTAATTTTGGAAACAATAATTTGTAAAGGTTAGTTATACAGGGTAGCTTCAAATTACATGATCAAACTTTAAAACGCTGGTTAACAGGAAATAAAATTAACTTTTAAGTTGAAATCTTTCTGTTTTTTTGAGCCATTAAATAATTAAAGATAGCATCAAGGAAGCTCTCTTCTTATTCTACACAGCCAGCACTTTTGTCAATAAAATGTTTATTACTTTTAACCTGTGGTTCTTGTACTACTTGGTTTGGGAGTATTTCCTGGGTATTAGGCCTTTTATGATGCCCAACATGGTAGACACACAGTAAGGACCAAGCAAAGAGTAGTCATTCTCATTGAGGCGGCCACAGAAAGAGCACTACACTGGGCAGGATGAGAGTACAGTGTTGCACTTTACTATTGAAAGATAAACCTGAGTGAGTGATCTTTATTAAAGTTTTTGAATAAGACTTAGAATGAGAACACAAAACTAGAAACTAAATCAGAGAGCACAGGGTAGATTAGGGCCAGGAAAGCCTGAACTCAGATGTCTGAGTCTCCTAGGAAAAGCCATGAAGAATATCTTTAATTTATAAAAGATTCATTTGTTGTAGGACACACACACACACAGATTGATTAGTATAAGTAGAATTAAGCTGCTGTCTTGGGGTATTTAGATAATAGATTGAAAAAGGGAATGTTCTGGTTTCTACAAATAGAGTAAAAGACTTATGAAAAGCAAAATCTTAAGAAAAGCCTTTTATGACTAGGGTGTAGCTGATAGTGGACCACCGATTTAGCCTATTTGAGGCTGCTTCTGGCAGAGAACATATTTGAAGTTTAGTAAATGTTATGTAAGGAAAACAAAAGAAGGGTACAAAACAAGTGGGTTATGTAAATTGTCCGTATATGTTAATGAGTTAGTTTGGGACAGTATTCCTCTTCCATTGTTTGAAAATTCTCTTCTGATACTGTTTTTTTTTCCCTTAGGAAAATTGTGGCTGAATATGAAAAGACCATTGCCCAAATGATTGGTAAGGGGAAAGACTTTTTCCTAGGACATGAGCTGTGGAGCCTGCCTTAGCCACAACTCTGTACCACAGACATTTGTTCTTAGTTTGGGAGGTGAGGGGTGGGACAAGATCAGGACTCTTGTAGGTTCTTGTGTCTGGCAAGGGACTATTCCTCTTAGTCCCTTCTCACTTCATCCTCACATGGTGTCCAGGAGAGCTAGCTTGCTCTGTTGAGTCTCTTTTTAAATTGATATATAAAAATGATTATGGGGGTCTGGAAAGGTGGCTTAGTGGTAGAGTGCTTGCCATGAAGCCCTCATTACCACATAAGCAAAAAATAAATAAAAGAAATAATATTGAAAGAGAAAAATTATTTTTTAAAATGAGTATAGGACATAGTGTGATAAGTTGATTCATAAATACTATATGTATAATCAAATCATGGTAATTTACCTTTTCTTCTTCTTGAATATTTAGCATTTTTTTGTATTGGTAGGCAATTGCTCTGCTCTTGTCTAGTTCTTTATAAAACATAAATTCTTAAAAGCGATAGCCATCTTGCAATAGTATAAAACACTGGCTTATTCCTCCTACATTTTGGAGGCTTGTTACCCACCTTCCTCTGTCTCTCACCCTCACAACCTTTTCCAACCTCCACTAACTAGTACTCTTGCATCTACCTTTATGAGATCAGCTCATTTAACCTCCACAGATCACTGAAAATGTTCATTGCCTGTCTGTGCCTGGCTTATTTCACTTAACATAATTTTCTTTGATCTAGGGTTTGAGGGACAGGAATGGACCAAGATAAGACCACCAGAGACCTACTTCCTTCCCTCAGGCCCTATCTCCCAAAATTTCCACCACTTCCCAAAATAGTGCTACCAGCTGGAAAACAAGTATTCACTTTAGAAGCCAATGGGTGAAAGTTCTTATTCACACTATAACAACTCCTTACATACCACAAATACTCTGTCACTTTGGGGATTTATTTTCAACATACAGATAGAAATAGAGGGTAGGGAGCATAAACATTTAGGGGAAACCATAATAGGTATTTTCTATACAGTTATAGCAAACACTGAATCAATGAAAACAAACACATGGCTTCTAGGGACATGGCTTCTAGGGAAGATATAAGGCTAGTTTCCTGCAAGTTCTGCAATTCATCAATTGATTAATACATAGCTTTATCTTATTTGTGTTTCTATTTACAGAGGCCTCACTTTAATATAGATTTTTTTAATTGTAAAAATACTGTACAGAGGGGTTACAATTACATGGGCAAGATAATGAGTACATTTCTTATCAAGCATTGTAGCCTCCTCCTTTGTTTCCCCTTCCCATCCCATCCTCCCCCTAATATAGATTGTTGACTCATTAACATTGAACTTCTAGCTAGCCAGCAGTGCTTTAACTTGTGTGAAGGAAGTTTACATATCCCAAGGCACGTCCTAGCCTTCTCATGCTTAGGAAACACCAGACAACATTTCAGAATCACTTTTGAGGCCACTTTAAACAGCATCACCAACAGAAATGCAGATCTGTGGCATCAAAGAGACTACAGCAAGGATATTTGTTTATAGTGTGAACCAACAAGGCAGAGCATAGTCTTCATCCTCGCATTTGAAAGTGTCCATTAAGTGAATACAGATTTTAATTACAGGTCCACAAATAATTACAGAAGTCTGAGTGTTGATTTGGCGATTACAAGTAAATTTTAGTAAGTAAGCAAAGTTTCAGGAATAGACTGTTAGTAATCAGAATCTGCTGTACTTTGGTTCTTTGGAGTTTTCTGTTGTTGGAGTTTTTTTCCTTTGTTTTTGTCTCTGTAGAAAAGCCCTCCATAGCAGGCACTAACCTGTGTGTGGAGTGAGTCCTTTGTTTTGCAAGTTCAGATTTCCCCCATCAGACTCAGTAGTACCTCTCTTGTGTTGCATTTGGAGCCTCTTCTAGTGGCTGTTGTAAAGACTGGCTTCCTAAATTAAATCAGGTCTGATCGTCCGCACTAAAGAACTGAAATGACACTTTCTATTATCCACATCACCAGCTGCTTCACAGCTCAGCTTTGGCTATGGCTATCTAATCTCTAGAATATTCTCCAAGTAGCTGCATGCTTATTTGCCCTCAGTTACTTAAGGTCTCTATCCAAATCTCCTCTTGAGAGAGATTACTGTATAGATGATCACTTCTCCCTCCTATTCCTCTTGCCTTACTTTGCTTTTCCCATCACTGATCACTTCATATTTCCCTCTTAGAATATAAGTCTTTGGGAGGGGGGATTTTGTTACACCCATGGCTATGTCCCCACCACTGAGGCAGAAGGCAGACTCTGACCAAGATGCTTGACTATTGACTAAAGAAGCTGTCACTTTAAATTGTGATTCCCAGAAGATGAACAGAGGACAAGCATGACCTCTCAGAAGAGCTTTCAGCAGCTGACAATGGAGAAGGAGCAGGCCCTGGCTGACCTGAACTCTGTGGAAAGGTCCCTTTCTGATCTCTTCAGAAGATACGAGAACCTGAAAGGTGTGCTGGAAGGCTTCAAGAAGGTAGGCTGTTCTTTTCCACCTGTCTATTGGCCAGTGGTATGGTTTCTTGGTAATGGGTCAGCATATATGTCAAGGACTGGTAGCCTTCCACAGGAAGCTCAGTGCATGTTGGCCTTAAATTTTCTAATTACAGTAAAGCTCCATTTTTTTTTTCTTTCTCTCTCTCTGATGTCTGGCTGATAGGTTGGAATGTCTTTCTCATTCTACTGGGTAAAGCCAGTGATCCCCACATATAACCAGAGTATGTACAGTGAACAAAAACTGGAGTCCTCAGATCTTAGGATCCTAGACATGTTCTTTTTCATTATTCATCCTTCCAATATTAGAAAAAGTAGAAGGGATTATACTTAGATTTGAAAAAAATTAATGTTGCATATTAGAGAAGAAATTCAGTAATCATTTAGTTGCATGTTTTTGATGACAATTTACAAGCAGTGAAAAAAATTTTTTTTTCTGATGGCAGCTATTGTTCCCAGGCTTTACAATTCTTTATTTTCATATTAAAGTAAAACCTCTGTGTAACTACTTAAAGACAACTAAAAAATGTTAAAGAACAGCTCATACTTGTAACAGCACTCATGACACTGAGGCTGGGGAATCGAGGACAGCTGGGGCTACTTAGTAAGATTCCATCTTAGAAAACCAAAAATATGGGGCTGGGAAGGTGGCTCAGTGGTAGAGTGCTTGCCTTGCATGCATGAGGCCCTGGGTTCAATTCCTCAGCACCACATAAGCAGAAAAACCTGGAAGTGGCACTGTGGGCTCAAGTGGTAGAGTGCTGGCTTTGAGCTGAAGAGTTCAGGGACAGCATTCAGGCCCCATGACCGACAAAAAAAAAACAAAACCAAAAATATTTTTTGAATAAAAATGAGACTAGCCACATTATATAATATGGGGATCAAGCTACTGTTCAATATTAGTAAATGAACTATATTGAAAATTCAGACATTAGGAAAGTAAATTAGTGATGTTTTACCATTGAAAAAACAGATACATGGTACATTGGTTGTATAAGAAAAAGATATGTTTGTTTTAATTTTTACCTTGAAACAGAATGAAGAAGCCTTGAAAAAATGTGCTCAGGATTACTTAGCCAGAGTAAAACAAGAGGAACAGCGATACCAGGCCCTGAAAATCCATGCAGAAGAAAAACTAGACAAGTAAGCATGTGTGAATTTGAGTTTCACTTTTCATAATATTGTGGAAAAACTGGTAGAGGCAGAAACTTTATTTTTCATCTGAAAAATAATATATGCTTGTACATTTTACTATTTGGATTACTATTTGTAAAACTATAATTCAAAACACTAAAATTGTTTTACATCTTTACGTTTGTGTGTATGTGTGTGTAATGTTTCATTTGAACATTACAAAGTGTAAAAAGGCATACAACTCAGCTTTTTATCCTGATTGGCTTCTACTAGAGTGTCATAGCTTTTGCTCCTTAGAGATGGGAACATCTGGTCAGAGGGCTGTGTAGGCCTAAGAAATTATTTGGTACATAATGGGACAGACAAGTATGCTCTTGCATCTACCTGTATTGATAATTTAGTATGCCCTGTGAATGTTACAAATATCCAAATGGCTCTTGGCAGAAAGAAGTTCCCTACTTCTGCTGATTGCTGATACCCCTTGGTAATCAGTGTTAATTTCTGTTTTTCCTTCTAAATACACATTTCTTCCTCTTTTAAATTGTGTGTGTATGTGCAGGGGTGTGTGTGTGTGTGTGTGTGTGTGTGTGTGTGTGTGTGTGTGTGTGTGTGCAGGGGTGTGTGTGTGTGTGTGTTTGTGTGTGGTGGTAAGGATTGAATACAGGATTTTGTACATATTAGACAAGTTCTATCACTGAACTATTCTAGCCCTTCTCTTCCAAGGGATAACGGCATCCCTTGCTTTTTCTTTGCATAGTAATATAATTTTGAAAATATTGTAGTATCAATCCATGAGGAACTTCCATATAGCATTCTGTTACTGAAATGTATCATTTATTTAACAAATCCCTCTTGATGAACATTAAAAATTTGTCTACTACAATGATGCAGGAAAATGCTGTAGATTACTCTTTTGCATGCAAAAGTTCCTTATGGATTGGTACAGAAATATTAACATTGTTAACTTGAGCCACATGTCCTTTTTGTAAGTAGCAAATTATCAGTCTTTTCTTTTGTCAGTTTCTGAATTCCATGTCATAGTAACAAAGAGCTTCCCTGTGAAAAATGCCTTTTTTTTTTTTGATGTTCAATCTTCAAACGATTGAGTATTCTATTTGTCTCCCATTCATTTTCTATTCATCTACCCCTCTTTACCCCACCCTCCAAGGTATACTTTAGCTTCATGATTAATTTTTTTTAAATTTTTTATGCAAGTCCTGGGGCTTGAACTCAAGACCTAGCCACTCTTCCTGAGCTTTTGTGCTCAAGGCTAGCACTGTACCACTTGAGCCTCCACTCCACTTCTGGCTTTTTTGGTGCTTAATTGGAGATAAGAGTGCCATAGACTTTCCTGACCAGGTAGGCTTGGAATCTTGATCCTTAGATCTCAGCTTTCTGAATAGCTAGGATCACAGGTGTGAGCCACTAGCACCTGGCCTGGCTCAATTTTTTTATTCCTTAAGTTCAATAAATTTAAAAAAGTTTATCCCAGGAAGTAAGAGCTTTATTTTTTTCTAAAAAGGAACACGTATTTGTTCATTTTTCTATAAATAGTCCTTTTATAAAAAACTTTTTTCTACTTCCATAGGTTCCATCATTGTATATGTTTATTGTATTTATTGTGTATTCTGTTCTTTTATGTCTTTACAAATAGTACTCAAAATGATTTAGAATCCTTTGTCTACTTGTACTTAAAATATATATATGTGTATATATATATATATATATATATATATATGTAAAATACTGGAGTTACTATACAGATTTTTTTATTTATCATAAGTCAAAGCCATTTTACCATTTTACTTAACCAAGTGCAAGAGTTTCATGGCTGTAATCCTAGCTACTCAGGAGGCTGAGGTCTGAGGATCACAGTTCGATGTTAGCCCAGACAGAAAGGTCTGTGAGACTGTTACTTTCAATAACCACCAAAAAGTTAGAAGTTAAGCTGTGGCTCAGGCAGTAGAGTGCCAGTCTTCAACAACAAAGCTAAGGGAGAATGTACTGGCCCTGAGTTAAGCTTCAGTACCAGCACATGTGTGCGCATGCACGCGTGCGCACGGACACACACACACACACACACACACACACACACACACACATACATGAACATTTAGTTTAATTCTTTTTATTAAGTGGTAAGACTATAATAATATTTTTTTAAATTGTTGGGCATGTAGATAGTTTCACTTTTTTTTTTTTTGCCAGTCCTGGGCTTGAACTCTGGGCCTGGGCACTGCCCCTGAGCTCTTCAGCTCAAAGCAAGCACTCTACCACTTGAGCCACAGTGCCACTTCTGGCTTTTTCTGCTTATGTGGTGCTGAGGAATTGAACCCAGGGCCTCATGCATGCAAGGCAAGCGCTCTATCACTGAGCCACCTTCCCAGCCCAGTTTCACATTATTGTTATAAACAGTGGTACAGTAAGTAAGCCAAGAGTATTTCTGTGAATAAATAACTGAAAGTGTAGAATTTGCTGGGACAGAAGGTGTGTACTTTATACTAAGGGCCTCACATTTAGCAGGCAAGTACTCTACCACTAGAGCCACTTTCCTGGGTCTAAATGTTTTAAGTTGTCTTGGTTCTCACCTTTCAGCCCCCCACAAAAGACAGTTTTTATCCTTCTCATGAGCACATGACTCTGTTTCTTTGTATCTCCATCAATACAGGGCAAGATCATTCTTGTTCATTTTTACTAGTCCAATGAACTTTTCAAATTCATCATCTGGAAACAGTGTGTAGTTCAGTGGTAGAGTTGATAGCATTAGGGAGACCCAAGATTCAACCCCTAATACCAAAAATGTAAGAGAGAGATTTTTGTCTTTAATTTGAATGTCTCTGATTACTAGCAACGTTTTTGCTATCCTTTAATCGGTTAACAGGCTTTTTATCAACTGACATTTATGGTTTTTAAGATTTCCTTTTGTATCTCACTAACAAAATCACTTCTTAGAGGTCTGTGTTTCATAGACATTATTGTTTAGTATCCTGACTCTTTAGCTATGATAATTTTCAAAATGATTTAACCTACTATTGTACTAGATTAAAAAATTTAAAGTTGCTATGAGACATATATTGCATTTCTTATAAAATACAAATTTTGAAAAACATTGGTCATTGAGATTGGTCCTGCCAGAAGTATGTGCCATGGAAATTTTCTAATGAGTTGTAAAGAAACTGAACTATTCCCTGATCTTGCAGTCAATTCTTTTGAGTATATGTTTTTAGGAATTCAGTTCAATATCCTGAATCTAGCTGTGTCAGTGGCTAACCATGTGTTTTTTTTTATCTCTCTTATTCTAAACAACAACAAAACCCACCATAAACAGAGCCAATGAAGAAATTGCTCAGGTTCGCACCAAGGCAAAGGCTGAGAGTGCAGCTCTCCACGCTGGACTCCGGAAGGAGCAAATGAAGGTGGAGTCCCTGGAGAGGGCTCTTCAACAGAAGGTATAGCAGAGATTTGGTGTAGACAATATCTGAAATGCTCGCGTGTTCTCCACAGAGGCTCAGATGAGACCTGGGTGTTTAGCTCACCATGGACTTGGATGAAATTGGCCTTGCCATTCTCAGACTCTCCCAGTGATTCAGGGTAGACTTATGATATTCTCAATCTTTCTTTCTTTTTTTTTTTTTGGGGGGGGGCCCTCCGGTCGTGGGGCCTGAACTCTGGGCCTGGGCGCTGTCCCTCAGCTCTTCAGCTCAAGGCTAGCGCTCTACCACTTGAGCCACAGTGCCACTTCCAGCTTTTTTCTTTTTGCTTATGTGGTGCTGAAGAATCAAACCCAGAGCCTCATGCATGCAAGGCAAGGCTCTACCACTGCGCCACCTTCCCAGCCCCTATTCTTAGTCTTTCATGCATGTCTTATAGAAGTCTTTTGCTGAAGGTATAGACAGGAAGTTGGGTTTTAACTGACATGCAGAGGACCAAACACTTCTTAGTAGGGCCACAAGACTTCATTCCTTCTGATTTGTTTTTTTTTATACAATACATGGAGACATCTTCCCCTTTCATTGCTTTAGATTATTGGCTCTCAATTAGGGGCAGTTTTCCCCTCTAGGAGACATTAGGTAATGTCTGGAGATTAATTGGTTGTCATGACAGGGAAAAGCTCCTGGTGTCTTGCATCTTATGATGCACAGAGTAGCCCCACATTAACTACATACCTAGCTGTAGACAAATTAAAGTCAGTGTCAGTGTTGGCAAACCAAAATCTGACGGCTCATTGCCTGACAGGCCAATTTACAAGTGTGGAGGCAAGGAAAATGACTTTATTCAAAGGCTAGCAATGAGAAGACCCACTGTCAAATGGTTTAGATAGGTAGGTAATAGGTGTTCCCAAAATGATAGGCACCTTCTCATAGTAGGTAAGCCAGACTTTGTATCAAATTGTAGTCACAGGATGCAGTTCCTTTCTGTACATCTCAAGAACAGATAATTTCCTCAGGCTTTTCTTGCCACTGATTAGTTTTTTCCTGTGTAGTTCCTTGTTACAAGTATGCCAGCTGGAGAGGGTAACTGCCTCAAAGCCAAATGGAATGGAAGAAACCTTCCTTAATACTGGTTCTGGTAGCAGTGTCCTATTTCCCACTAATAAGCAGTTTTTAGCTCATTGTTTTTATGTCTCCCATGTTTTTCTTACTCTGTCTCCCAAGAAGCATGTAAGCTGGTGACAGCCACTGAGCTAGAGCATGGTAGACAGTAGCCCCTCCATGTCCTTGAGACTTGCAGACTCCAGAATCCCTTGGCTACTGATGGCTGAGTAAGACCCTGATACTTGTGTTTTTAGCAAGTGCTCTGCATAGTTCTTGTGATAAGAAGAAAAGTAGGAATGGAAAGGTACATGGACAGGCTTCAGGGGGCCATAGCTACTCTCACCCTTGACTCAAGATAGGCACAATACCATGAGTACCTGCACGTTTCCTGGGCTGAAAGTACATGGTCTTCCTTTCCTTAGAGATGCAGAAAGTAAAGTTTCACTAAGTTAAGATGTCTAGGTAGGTCTGTCCAGCTGTGATTGCCTTCGTTTCAGAACACAAAGGGGCCTGTGTAATTGTATTATCTATCTTTCAGAACCAAGAAATTGAAGAACTGACAAAAATTTGTGATGAGCTGATCGCAAAACTGGGGAAGACTGACTGAAATTCCTCCCATTTGCTCAGCAGAGCTGCCATGATTACCTTGCCTTACCCAGGAAGAATTTGTCCCTTTTCAGAGAAAAAAAAAAAAAAAGCACATCCTCCTGCTGCCTGTCCTGCTTTGCTGCTGCCAGTGCAACAGCCCTGGAAGACCCTGGAGGCCAGCCCTTCAGAAGGAGCATCACCTGCTGTGCCAGTCTCCAGGCTCCCAGGTGTGGGTTCCATCACACAGGCTGCTGAGTCTGTTTGTGATTTCTCTATCTTTAGTTCATCTTCACATCATTTTCTTTTCCCATGCTTAATTTCTGATTTTGTGGCTGTTGTTTGGGCTCCTATCCTCCACTGTTCAACATTTTCACGACCTACTTAATCTTTTGATTTTTAGGATCAGTGGATTTATTGCAGGGGATAATTTCACCTATTGTTACTTCTAGTTATAAATAAGGAGCTCTGAGTACTTTTATGTACATACTCCTATCTGTACATGTATATCTATATATGCTGCTACTTTTCCTGAAAGCATAATTAAATGAGAACTTTTCTATAGAAGAACATAATTCCATATTTAAAACCCTACTTTAAAACAGAGCCCTGACTCCAAATGCCAACTTAGCAATTTTAGGGTCTGAACACAGTGTTATGTGTCTAGTCCCAGCTACTCAGGAGGCTGAGGCAGGCAGATTGTTTGAACCCAGGAGGCAAAAGCCAGCCTGGGCAACATAGCGAGATCCTGTCTCATAAATAAATAAATGTGTGTATGTGTGTATGTATGGTTAGTTATGGTAACACATACAAGAAGTTCCAAGCCAGCCCAGTCAAAACAAGCAAGGACTATATAAAAACTACAATACAAAAATGCCGCGAGTGTGAATCAGGTGTTAGAGCACTTGCCTATGCCCAGTCCTGGGTTTAGTCCCCAATACCCCTTTATTCCCCAAATGAGGCTGAAGACTTGGGTTTCAAGCTTGGAGTACTATTTTGTTACCGTGGTATTTGGGCAGCCCTCTGCTTTAATGGGCGTAGTTCATAGTCCTCAGACTCAGTAAATGTCTGCTTTCTTCATAAATAGCAGTGTGTGCCTCACTCAGAGCTGGGCTTTGATGAATCCATCCTGGAATCACTCTTACTGCTTTAGTTTTTTGATACAAAATCGACATCCCACTTTTGTTACCTATTTGAAATATGCAAAAGAAAGTCAACCCATGAAGTGATTTAGATGATCTCACTTAAATCAAAGGTAACTCTAGTCCCATCACTAATTACTAGGTTGAAGGAACCAGTGGTTGGTTGTCTTTATTACATGGTACATCGTTCTTTCAATATTTTTTAAAAAGACAACAAATGATTTCATACTTAAACGATAGAATTTTTAGCAAAACAGGCAGAAAAATAAATCATGTGTGCCACTCTGAAAATCAGCTTACTGGGAAACATTGCAAAAGATAGTTTGAATACTGAGGAGGGAATCAGGGAGGATGTCCACACAGACAAAACCAGACTCCTCAGACTCATACTGAATCCATTCAGAGTGATAGAATGTTAACCCCAGGATGGAACCTTGTCACATTATGCTAGTAAGTTATTGGACAGGCAAAATGAAATGTATTCTAGTGCTAAAGCACTCTTTTGTCTTAATGTACACCTCCAAATCTTAATAGTGATGTACACTATATTCAGTACCTGTTTTCCTACTTCTCCTGTAAAACTGTTGCATGAGCCAACTTCAGCAATGAATTGTGCCTCCCAGAGAATCTCTAGATCTTGCAAATAAGTATTTCTTTTGCAGTATATTATTCATGTGGGTGTAATCATTAACCCAAGGGAGGTTAGTAATATTTTTTCAAGGCAGAATCCATGTTTTACCAATATGCATTTATCACAGTTGGTGCTTAGGCTGTATTTTAAAGCCTATTGTCTTAACATTCTGTACAAAAAAAAAACAAAACAGCAATTTTTTTGTGGTTGGAGAACTGGCTTGACAATCATTTGGGCTTTGAAAGTAGTCACTGTGGCTTAATGTAAATGCTGTGCCAGCATCCTAGTGTCCAGTGTGTATTCTGGTAGTATAACCAGTTTCTTCTTAATCCTCTGCTACAAGGGAAATGAGCTTTGCAGTTTGCAGAAATAGTACAGAATTATTTGCTGCTGCGTTTTGGTGACTTATCTATGTTTACTTGCTTAAATATTGACTTATTTTAATACAAAATGTCTATAGTGGTCTCCATTATACATCCATAATCATCTTTTTTTTTCTTGTAATGCCAGGCAAGTGTTGTGCTGCTGACCTATATTCCCAGCCTTATAGTCATCTCTTTGAGCTTATTGTGTGTTTTGATATATGTCATGTGAGAAAATGGGTAACAACAGTTTTTCCCTAGCACATTGGTAGAAGAAACTTAAAAACTTGACCCCAGTGAATGAAGTTGCTGCTCAAGGGAGCTAGCAAGGGCCCTTGGTAAGTAGGATTTGCTACCAGCCTCTCAATTGTTAACTATTATGAGGAAATGTTTACCATTTTGGTTTGACAGATGGCTCCTCTCCAACAAGAATAAAAATGTAGCTTTTACAACTGGCAAATCAAAAGAATATACTAAGAATGAAATATATTTATTTTTCTTTAAAAAATAAGCCTCCTCCCATCCAAAAAAAAAAAGCTTTTAGAACTCTGGAGAGAGTAAGAATATAGTCAGGTTTACTTCATCACATGTGGAAGCCAAGTTACTTATTTGTTAGGCAATAAAAAAGAAAAAAAACAAGCTCAGGGTGTGGTGGTCCATGCCTGTAATCCCAGCACTCCAAAATTGGAGGCAAGATGATTGAGAATTTGTGGTTAGCCTGGGCTGCAAAAAGATTTCATGTCTCACAAAACCAAGCGCTGCAAGGGCTAGGAATCAGTGGTAGAGCAACTGCCTACCATGTACAAGGCCCCCAGGGTTCCTGAGTTTTATCCTCAATACCTGCATGCACGCACGCACACACGTGCGCACGCACACATACACATTCTCTCTCTCTCTCTCTCTCTCTCTCTCTCTCTCTCTCTCTCGCTCTCTCTCTCTCTCTCCCTCTCTCAGAAAAAGGAAGGAAAATAGAATAGAAAGAAGCTACTAGCTTAGACAGTGGTTCAGGAATTTTAGATGATCTTGCCAATCATCTAAATCCATAGCTACTTCTTCAGTATTTGACTTTGCCAAAGTATAACTAGCTTTTACCCACCAGTATTTTGATAGAAGTCAGTTTACCATGGTCTGGTCAGACTTCTTTATTTACTTTATTTGGGGACGCTCCTTGAAGCCCATATTTACCCAAAGCTTTTGCTCTGTTAATTGGCTCTGGAAATGCTGAGAAGCCCAGTGTTCTCCCGTGGTTTCTCTCTTCTTCAAACCCAGGCCAAATTAGGAAGTGCAGAAGTCCATGGTGGTGAAAAGCTCTAAGGCACTGACCGCCGTCCAAATGGTATGGAATCTATGCTCTCCTGTCATTTGGGCGCATAACTCAAACTGAGTTTTCTTTGTAGCCAGTGTTCCTTTCTCCTTGTTCACACACGGCACCACCACTACCAGAGTGGCTTATTTATTTATTAGACAGCCTGAGTGAGTTCTGTCTAATACGAAGAGCATAAACTGCTCCAAGCATTCTGGACTAAGCCTCCAGTTTAAGCACTCATTTGCAGAGAAGATAACAAAGGGCTAGGAGCGGGTATGGTCACCATGGTCCTGGGAAGTCTATGTGCTCATGCTGGGAATGACTGCCCTTTCACAGTGGAGAAAACATTCTGAAATCCCTTTCTTTTCCTGTGCTTTTTGTTCCAGTCATCTGCCATCTCATTGTTCTTGGCCATTGTACCTTGTGTGAGTGATTGTGAATGTGCTCTCAGAGAAGTTATTACTTCATCTTTTAGGCAAGAGAGACAAGTGGTGAAAAATTAAATGATTCAGGCAAGGGTTTTTTTAAGTAAAGATATATATATATATATATATATATATATATATATATATATATATATATATGAATTTTAAGAAGGGAAATTAATATTTGCTTAATAAGAAACAAATATAGGTTGGGAATCCCAGAATGCCAAGCCAAAGGTCTAAGAAGTCACCTCTTTTCAAAGATTTTAATAAGCTATTCTGAGGAGCCTTTTGTCCAGAAAGGTTTGACTGGCCTTGATTCCAGTTAGTTTTCAAAAGCATTTACTGGGGCTGAGGATATAGCTCAGTAGTAGCACATTTTCCCAGCGTGCACCAAGCTCTGTTTGATTCCCAGAACTGCAAAAAGGAAACAAAACAGCGGCAATTTACTACTCAGTCTTTGAGTCTCTCATACAGTAAAGGTGAAGGAAGTAAAAGAACCCACCCGGGTCTCCTCTGGAGAACACACACACAGCACTGTCCAGTGAAGACCCTCCCTAGTAAGCCAGAGCTTACTTTCTGGAAACTAAAGATTGCACTTTTCGTAGTTTTTTTGTCCAAATGCAATCCCATTCCTGTGCCTCTTAGCATGCCATTAGATTTGGACAAACAAGATTCCTAAGGAATGACTTTATTAACTGTAATATGGTTACAGCTATTATATAATGATATAGACTCTGGTTATAGTTCTAATGTGGAGATGTTGTGTGCAATGCTGGCCTGTGACGGTCTGTATAATGCTTTTAAGTTTTCAGAGGAGGCCAAACTGGGAACTGAGGTGTGGCCTAGACCTTCTCTGTGTGGGCTTCCCACTTGCTGTCAGGACGCCACTCTCTCCCCCTCTGCCTTTAGGGGCATCTGGGATAGACATCACACTATTAACCAGTATCCTATATGTATGAGTAATTTTCAAATGCACATGATAAAAATCTGAACTCTGAAACCACGTCCAGTCCAGACACAGGGCAGTGTGTAGGTCACACCACAGCCTTGGCCTCCCTCTCGGCCTCGGTCCTTCCCTGCTTTGGGAATAGGATCCAGGCAGTTTTTGAACTCTCAGAGATAGCAGTAAACTTTTCAGTATTGCTGTTAGCAAGTGTGTGTTTGCCAATAGATTCCCATTGTACACCGTGCCAACAAGTAAATGCCTATTGCACACCGGCTCCCACCCACTGCCCCCACCTGGCACACGATGCGCATCCCTGCTGGGCGGGTGCAAGTGGACTCCTCATCTGCATAGATTTTATATTCATAGTATTTTCCCTTTTTATATGTCAAGTAAATATTTGTAAAAGTTATACTCACACAAATGAAATTATTATAATGATTAATATATTTTTTCCATGTTTCATTGCCTGAATAAAAACTGTTTACCACTGTTAGGTCTGGGTGTGTGTGGTGGTGTTTTTCCTGGTTGTAAATCATTTTCCTCTGTGAGTGAAAATTTATGGCAACCTCACTTTTATGAGTTCCATATTTCAGTATAAAAATAGAAAAGCTGACATTTTCTCCACACTCATTTTGTGGTTTTATGCGTTTGGTTGGTTGTGTAATTAAAAACAAAACTTGAGAACTCAGACCTTGCCTTATAATTGACCATTACTTTACATCTGTGCAAACAGTCGCTAGCTGGATGCTTGGTTTTGCCTACAGGCTGGTTGTTCGCTCATCTGAGAAGCCAAGTTTCCCCATGCTTTCTGACTTGGTGAAGGACACAGGATAAGCCAGGGCTGGGTGAACATCACAGGCTTCAAAAAATAGTTGACATTCTATGTTTCTTCTCCATTACTATTAGGAAAAAAAATTTCCTCTTAAAGGGGTAGCAGGAAATTTTGTGAATTATGTTCCTGGAAAAGGTAAGCAAGAGGATTCCAAGGCTACATTTTTCAGCTTAGGTGAGGAGCCCCTGAGGAAACCACAGTTTCCCTGCACGAAGACACTGCAGCCTATAAAATTCCTAAAAGAAAAATGTCTCACCCAGGTGTTCCTGAACTGCAAAGAGAATCCAGAAAACTCACTGAAGGGGAGGGGACATGAGAATTACTGGGGGAAATACGATGGAAGTTTGCTCTCTACTGTCTTAGTTTTATTACGTTTGTATTCTCTTAAGTTTTATTCTTCTATAATTTAAGACCACCAATGTTTGCTTCTTCCAGTTCTAAAAATAGGAGATCACGGCCAATCACTCATGGCTCATGCTTATAATCCTAGCTACTCAGGAGGCTGAGACCTGGAGAATCTCAATTCAGCACCAACCAAGGCAAAAAAATGTCTGCAAGATTCCCATCTCCAGTTAACAGCAAAAAAGCAGGCTGGAAGCCTGACCCAAGACTGGAGCACCAACTTTGAGCATGCAAATTGAGTGAATACAAGGCCTTGATTTTAAGCCCCAGTAGAAGACCATGAAATCAGTGAGAGGTAGTCAGTGTTTAAAAATTTTAGATGGAGAGCCGGGCGCTGGTGGCTCACGCCTGTAATCCTAGCTACTCAGGAGGCTGAGATCTGAGGATTGCGATTCCAAGCCAGCCCGGGCAGGAAAGACCGTGAGACTCCTATCTCCAATAAACCACCAGAAAACCGGAAGTGGCGCTGTAGCTCAAATGGTAGAGCACTCGCCTTGAGCTGAAGAGCTGAGGGACAGCACCCAGGCCCAGAGTTCAAGCCCCACAACCGACAAAAAAAAAAAATTTAGATGGATTCTGTGAATAAATGGACATTAAATTGAAACTTCACTGTACAACTACTTGAAGATAATAATTTTAAAAAAGAGGTAAAGAAAAAATTTTTACAGCAGGGGATCTAATCTAGAGCTTTACAAACACTAGATCAGTGCTCTTCTACTGAGCTCTACCCCACTTCCAGGGAACAATCAATATTTTAAGGAAAGAAAGAAATTATGGCAACTATCAGAAGCTGTTACAAAAGTTACAGATAGGTACTGGTTCATGAAATTTGTTTCAGATACAAATTCATGTGCACTGGATCATGACAAAAAGTTTTTTGCCATGGTTAGAAGAAAGTATGGGAAAAACTATATAGGCAGCTTACATCATTTTCCCATTGGAATGAAGAGGAAGGTTGTCTGTTAGAAGATGCTATTGTTAATCAAATAGGTAAAATTAAATAGCCACCTAATTTATAAGCCAGTTACTAAGTTTAACTTAAAATCAGAGTCCTCCCAGTTTTGGTTATTGTTTGTATCACTTCGTAAGTAGGCATTTAGATAGTAGACCAAAGTAGCTTTTTGCTATATTGATTTACTTACTCAAGATAAGTACCTTCACAGTTTAAGACATGAAAGATTTGGAGAGGTGAGTTGGTCAGAAAAATTTCCACTTTTCTTGGGAAGTAGCATAGTAATTGGGACCACCATAAATTTGCTAACTGCTGGCATTCTACCACTTGAACCACAGTGCCAGCCTGGCTTTTTTGCTGATTACATTGAGGCAGATTCTCCAGGTCTCAGCTTCCTGAGTAAGTAGGGTTACAGTCTTTGACTAAAGATGAAACTGTAAATGTACATGATAGGCTAGGTAAAACTTCTTGCTGGGCACTGGTGGTTGAAGCCTGTACTACTCAAGAGGCTGAGATCAAAGGATTGAGGTTCAGAGCCAGCCCAGACTTGAAAGTCCATGAGATTTTTTTATCTTGAACTAACCACCAAAAAGCCAGAAGTGGAACTATGGCTCAAGTGATCAGAGTACTAGTCATTAGTGAAAAAGCTCAGGGATACCACCCAGGCTCTGAGTTCAAACCTGGGAATCAACATAAATAACAAAAACCCTGTATTCTTTCCCAGAAGAACACCATTGTCTACAATTCTAAGCTTTGTGGTGAAATGCAGTTTATTTTTATATCAGTAAGCTTTATTTACTTAGATATGGGGGTAGAGTAGTCTGTGAGATAAGTCTTAAACCCTAAAGCAGGACATGATGGCTTAATTAGGTTGTATGTTCAGACTGACGAACAATCCAGGAAAAAGAAAAACTGAACAGAAAGTTCCCTCAGAATAAGCACTATAATATAGTGGTGCTAAGTAACAAGTTTCCCATTAGCTTCTCAATCATTCCACATACCTGCACTTCATTTTCTGAAATTCTAGCCTGTAGTGTTCCTACTAGAGAAAGTGCTGATTCAGAAATGTTTTCAGAGTAAATAAGCCCTTACCTAAAAATCAAAAGTTTTAAGAAATTTTCTAGGCTGAATGTGGTGGGGCATACCTGTAATTCCAGCTACGCATGAGGCAGAAGTAGGAGGATCAAAGTCTGAAGCTGGCTTCAGACAAAGTCATGAAACTACACAATAATAACTAAGCAGGGCTTAGTTATTTTCCTCCCAGATTTTCCTGCCCCAGCTGGTTTGAAACTGATCTTCAGATCTACAGGCCTCCTGCCAATAATCCCAGCTACTTAGGAAGTTGAGGCCTGGAGGATTGAGGTTTGAAGACACTCTAGACAGAGAAGTCCAAAGAGATTCTCCAATTAGCCAGCAAAAAAGCTGAGGAGGAGCTGGTGAGGAGCACCAGCTTTGAGGAGAAAAAGCTGAGCTAGAATGAGACCCTGAATGCATTGGGCAAGGGAGAGTGGGGGGAAGCTATGGTGTGGCTTGGTGAAGTACCTGAATTCACAACTTATTACAAACATTCACATGTTGACTCCTCTTTAGAGCCAAATAAATTATTTCATTAGTTTTATTAGAAAGCTGAAAAATAAGAAAGCTTTGGGAACTAAGTCACCTAATTTTGTTCTTTTGAAATTGGTAGAAAATGAAGGAATTGAGAATTAGCTTAACAGAACAGATTCCAAATTTAGGGTGATTGAGGTATAAAATGAATAGGAATCCCTCTTTGTGAATTACTGGCCAGCCAAGATTGCTCAGGCCTACACTAGCTATAAAATAGGAAGTTTCTAGGGTCTATTTTTCCTTTGTTAACTAAAATTCCTTTAAAAGTTTGGTTCTCATATATTCAAAAACAGACTGAAGGTGTACCTCAGTTCACAAATAATATTTTAAATACAGCAACGTTTGCATTTCCCACATGCCACTCTTCTTTAAAAATATTCTGTACAGGGCTGGGAAGGTGGCTCAGTGGTAGAGTGCTTGACCTTCATGCATGAGGCCCTGGGTTCAATTCCTCAGCACCACATAAGCAGAAAAAGCCGGAAGTGGTGCTATGGCACAAATGGTAGAGCATTAGCCTTGAGCTGAAGAGCTGAGGGACAGTGTCCAGGCCAGAGTTCAGCCCCCATGACTGACAAAAAAAAAAAAATCTGTACTGACTCTTCCTTGTAAGTACATTATTCTGGAAAGTAACAGGAAAATAAGACAAAAATACATGTAATAACAATTAGCTGGGAAGCTGAGCTGGTGTTTGATCTCAAATGCTATTCTCTTTAGGACTACCCACTTGGGGGGATACTTTGGGCAGCATTTTCATCAGCATACAGGAAAACTTTATTCACTGTGAATTTGCTTTCTCTTTCCTCATCCCACATGGGATTCAGTGTAGTGCACAGAAAAAAACAACAACAAAAACTGCATAATCATATCACCCAAATTCAGACTTGTGGGCTCCAGAAGCCTAATCAGAGATGGCTAGTTACCATATTGCAGAGGCACCATTCTGGGAAAACAGAACTCCACCTCTTCCTTCAAGGTGCCCTTGTCTTGTGGAAAGGGCTCCAGTGTGGAAAGCTAGAACATGGGTTCTGGTCAGCTACAATGGGCAGGTCCTCATCTAGACTAAAAACGCTACAAGGAACTTTCCTGATTTTATCATTCACAAGTTCTATGACAATGCTAACTATGAGACAGAAAGTCCCTGCATTCCCTTTTAAAGTGACTGAAATACTTGTTGGAGATGCAGACAATAGTGGGCTTGCCATAGGCTGATGTGTCCAGAACTTTCCTCATGTTCACTTTAGCTACAAAATTCTGGAAAGTGAAGTGATCAAATACACTTTACACAATAAGGGGAAAGGCCTGCCCTCAAGTCCCCAACCCACACCCAAGTCCAGATTTTCATTTTTGTCTCTAGAGGTTAGCCTTGACATGGCCTCCTACCCTACCTCCACCCCCACCATGAAGAAGATGGCCTGTCCAGAGAGAGTCTTTGTAGCCACTCTACTCAACATGGCTATGACTCAAGCAACACTTAAACTTCTCCCTGAGATGCTCACAGCTCCAGGAGACCCAACCTAGATTTTCCACCTCATTGCGAATTAATGGACCAAATTCCCGTGTGTGTGTGTGTGTGTGTGTGTGTGTGTGTGTGTGTGTGTGTGTGTGTGTGTGTGTGTGTGTGTGTGACATGCACACACTCTAGTCCTTGGGCTTGAACTCAGGGCATGGACACTGTCCCTTAGCATTTTCACTTAAGGCT